GCAGATAAGAACTCTCTTTGAACCCATATTGCGCGTCAAACAAGATCAATCAACCAAGATTACGACATTTAACGTTTCGCGCAATACCCGCTAGTCCACCTATCTTTCCCCAGACTCCCAAAACGATCAACCACCAACCTTGCGAGAAATTAAAAGGAAACAATAACCAGATGAAAGAAAAAAGATAGACGGGAAGGGTTCCCTATTAGAGCCGCTCGCATCAGTAAACGAAACGCCCACACCCTCCAAAAGGCCAAAAAAGGTTGTGCACTCTGATCTCCTGTGGGGAAATGCACGATGGTTGAAACACTGGTCTTCCCTTCCACTTTTTTCACTGGTCTTACCTATATTGTATTCTATTTTGGAATTCCTCCTGGTCAATGGTCATGAACTAGCAGCGATCGGGCCTGTCGGGGGTTTTACTCGACCCGCGGTCGGACTTGAGCAATCCCTCTTTCTAGTTTGTACCTACTGTAGTAGCGCATCTCCGTAGAGAAGACTAGTACGACGACGGGAGGAGATAACTAACTTCCATAGTACTAAGTTCCTTGGTACAGAACGGAAAGGTTAAAACGAACAAATGGTCGCCGGGGGGACTGTGATTGGGGAGTAGTTGGCGCTGATCATTCGGCCGGTTGGACTGGAGTGGAGACCAGACCTGCACAGTCCACCTTTTTCTCGAGTCGTTCGATGATATCCACCTCGGTTGTATCTACTATCTACTCTATGTACAGATACATCCTACATCGTGACTCTAGATAAGTATACATTTGGGGCACGCTACACTATTCTTCAACCTCATTGATCCGTCAATCCATTCATCGTTGATTTAGTTCTGACTAGCTGCACGACTTCAGAGTTGATCGTGCTGCATGGGGTAATCTCCACTGTTCTACCCGATCACATCGTGGTCGTTATCTACTTATCATTTGCTATTCCCTGTTCTCCCGTGGCGTATCCAGCGGGTATACTATAAACACTCACTCTCGTAGGCTCGTTCTATCTACAGCGGTTGTACAAACTAATCTACGTACGGAGTTTACTTGTGGTACTCCGTACAAACATACAGAATACAGAATACAGACGTGCATACGTCTATACGTACGTACATAGATACATACATACAACAGGGGGGAAATAATCCAAAACAACCACACAAGTACCATGCATACTCCAACTCCATCCATATGGAGGGAAGTTAATAACAGTGACGCACCTTATATTATGTACGATGCATACGGATCCATCCAACAGGTCGGTCCTATATCGGAATGGAACCTCCGCGCCAAGATCCCGTCCCTTCCCCCCCCCCACATCCAAACCAAAACCAAACCATCACCGGACGAAAGTTTGTGAGACATGATTAGGTGCTTTCCTTCCAGGGATCTTCAACGTTGTGTTTTGTTTCGTCTACGCTCCTCCCTCGCATGGTGGTAGAACTAACTATTGTTCTTTGTACATACTGCGTCTGCATCGTGCAGGTGGATATGCCGCCTGCAGGTAGAATTAATTTTTTTTTCTTTGTTTTCCCCTCCCTACCTGCTCGTGAAGATATGCTGGAAGACTTGACACCCCTAGCGTCGTAGGGACGTCCTCATTGGTAGGGTGTTTATCTAGCGTACCATGTTTTGGAACAGACGGGAATTCTCCAGGAGTTTGAGGGTTTCAACTTGGGGGGAAGTTATGTTGTGATGCGACGTTGTTTGGTGGAGGGGTTTGTTTACATGTGTTGGTATTTGGTATCTGTGGAGATGATTTAAGAAGTAAGGAAGTTGTATATGATATCAGAGATATTAGTCCAAGACAGGATAATTTGCGTTCGATATGATATCTTAGGTAGGTAAGTATAGGCTCTGCGAATGATATTCACGGGAAGGTGATATGCTGCTGTATACACAAAGTGAGTGGCTGCCATCTCGGCATTGTGAGAACGTGGGGGGCGGGAACATGAGCATGAGCATGAGCGAAGGAGGGGCAGGGAACCATGGGTTGAGTAATGACGGGAACATTTAGTTGATCAATCAATCAATCGATTGAGGAGGGGCAGGTAGAGAGGGGAACATGATTGATGTGGTGTGATGGAGGAGAATTGAAAAAAAAGGGAGCGGTGTGACTTCAGACCGGCGGCCATCCCGCTGTCGTGATTTGTCGAGAGCCTTTCCCGATAACTGATTCGAGTGTTTAATCTTCCTACCGCGAACTGTATTTCTAAATTCTCCATCAGATGAGATCATGTAGGTATCCTCCTACCTATGTACTATATCTGTCTAGGACGTCATCGACGAATACATGGATGGACTGATGACACGATGTTTCTCAGCCGCGACGGAGACGGTGGTCATTTGATATACCATTTTGGTGCTCGCACCGAGTAGCTGAGGTACCTACCGAGGAACTTATTGGACAACTGGCCTTACCACAAACAGGTGCCATGCTCCGCTTGATCCCCCGAGGGATTTGGTCGGGTCAGTGCGGATGACTCTGATGTTAGACTCATCTCGTCATTTCATCATTATATCAGATTCACTATCTCGATCAACTCTCAAGTCACGGTACCTGTGTGAATCGAAAGTCCCATGCCTCGTGGCTCGGTTAGATCCTTGACCGTCAAGGTGGTGTTTTTATTTTTTATTTTTTTTAGTACTTTCCTCCTAGTAATTGCGGGCACTGAAGAACCTCAACGAGGATACGTCCTAGAGCCTCTCGAGTCAAGCGCACTGCAGATGACCCAGATCCGGCCGTGATTCGTCCAATGCGCGTGGACAATCTCGACATTCATAGTCCGCCAGGGCGCTATCAGCTGCACGGTAGGCGGACCCACCGCCAATCATGCTGCGTAATGACAGTAGGCCGGTGGGTCGCCAAACAGGGAAGTAAACGGTGGCATCCAATCCTGCCTGCCCGTCCCCATCTTGAAAACTTTTTCCTCCATCTTGATCGTCCTCAAGGGCTGTATAGCCTGTGGCTGTACTCGGAGGACACGGTCAATCATTCATACTAGCGTCTTTAGCGAATCAGAGACCACAGCCGCGGGTTATCCTTCTAGTATCTTCTGCTGAGCACATAATTCGGAGTCATCCTTTCTTTTACCAGATGTCTGGATAGGACGGTGCGTCCAATTGTTCCTCGTTTTTCGATTTTCTCGCTTTGATTGCTTGAATCACGCCCGCTGGTGGTATAATCCAGCCGTGCCATCAGCCCATTATGATTCATGGTCGGCAGATCGCGGTACCCACTACTCTCGAGGTACTCGGGAAGACGGCGAGCTGCTCCACTATTCTTGAGCTGGAAACCGTCTTGCCTTTTTTTTTCTTCTCCCGTTTCCCTTTTCCCTCCTCCCACCATGGTTGGCCTTTTCATCTGTCGGTTTCAAAACACCAACGTCCAATCGTCCCTATCTCTCGCGTAAAAGAGGAGAAGACAGAAAAAGAAAAGAAAGAAAAAAAGTACCATGCCGACAAAGATTGGAGTCGACCTTCTCCTGACGATGTACTGTAGTCTGTGTCAATGAAGGAGTCGGTTCCATGGGACTTGGACGGGGTCCATTGATAAACCCCACCGGACAGGGTTTCCAGCGCCAGTTTATCAGAGACGGGACTATCAATGTCGATACCAGGAGACTCAACACCACTAGTGGTCCGCTCTTGATAAGGACGGCAGGAGAGAGTCCACCTTCAAACGAACTCTTCTGGTTGTTGCCACCAGGTGTTTATGTTTATAGTTTGATGCAGATGGGAATGTTTAGGATATTATAAAAGGCAGATAAAAAAAAATCAAATAGACGAAATAATAAAAGAATATGAATAACAGATAAACATATCAAGGGATCACTCATTCCAGACTAGATAGGAAGTATGAATTACGGTACCGTACGAGATTCCGACGAGTCTCTCCTGCACGTACCAATGCATCCTCGACGCAAGTACCAGCGGCTCCGATTAATTAAATGAGGACATTGTCCCATTAATGTCGGGAATAGATCATATTAACATGGGCTGATTATTATAGATTATTGATTATTGATTAACTGATCGGGTATCTTGCGAGAAGGTACTATACTTCTCGATGTATAGATTCCGTACTGATGGATACAATCGAAACGATTGTTTGATTCGGTGGGTTTGTATAAAACAAAAGAAAGACCAAAGACAAAAGACAAAAAAAGACAAAAGATAAAATAGAAATAGTTAAAATAAAATAGAATAAAATAATATAAAATAATTTAAAAAATCGACTATCTCTGCTGACGCCTCCGAAGCCCCTCCCCTCAGCTGATTGATCCAGTGCACATCTCATATCCACCTTTTCTCATCCTCCCCCTCCACCACACTTCCCCCCCTCTTAGTACTATCAATCCAAACTCGATCCTAACTAGGCTGGTGGTGCTTGCATATTAGTCTAGCTCCCCCGGTCCTGTCGCTTTTCATCTCCCCTTCCACTTCCCCATCTCAGAAGATTCCTCCTTCATATCCATCACTCAGTCTCTTTCTTCTTTGGGCGGAGCTTTGCTTTTCTTTTGCTTCTTCTTTTTGATTTTTCCCTTTTCTCCCCCCGTTCGAATTTCTTGGATTCTTGTTCAGCTCGCCTCTTCCCTCTTCTCGTCTTCCAGCTTTGTCCAGGCGACAAGCTTGTAATAGATCTTCTCCCTCGACGTATCGGGAAAGAAATTCGGAGGTTCTACTTTTATAGTGACACCTTTCCTCCGATATCTGTCAGTGATCTCCCTTCCCACTCAAATCCCTATCTATAGATACAGGACCCCCCCCTTTGGTTTCTTATCAACCTTCTCCACCCGGTGGAATCTGGTTCCGTCAGATTGTCCAACGTCTGGCTGGTTTGGAAAAGTCTACTGACTCATTCCCCTCACTGCTGCAGGCTTCCCTGTTGCCTACCAGCAAGATGTCGATATCCGTCTCCTACGCCACTACCACTTCCTGAGCGTCCCCGCAAAGTTCGTTCGCCCAATTAGTTCGGTCTCGTTGGGCGAAGCACTGTCCGTAATGGAGAAGCTGAACACCGAAGATGGACAGCTTTTCATAAAAGTGAGTGGGGACCGTGGTTCCTTCGAACCTCACCTATCGGTCTCACTAACCTTTCAACCCAATAGAACCTCGCTAGCTTCGTTCGCACCCATGAGAAGGCCCTCGCCAATGCCCTACAGCTGCGACGACAGCCCTCCAAAAATGCGCAACCCACCCTCACATCCTCGAGCGCCCCCTCGACCTCGTCCAGCCTTGCGGCGGCCTTGTCGCTGGGGTCTTTAAAGTTCACCTCGCCCAGCATCAAGCCCGCCAAACTCACCCTCACCCCCCATCACCTATTCTACCTTCTCTCCCGATTCGAAGATCTGTCCATCGCCGTGGGCCCCATGAGCGTCCGACTGGAGAACATCCATACCGATGTCTCCCAGTCCTATGTCTCGTTCCTGAGTAAACCCCAACGGTCCAAGGGGGACCGGGACTCCATCCACTCGGTCTCCAGTGTGCGTAGTGTCATGTCCGGCATGGGTTCACTGTGGTCGTCCTTCGGCCTGGGATCGAAGGATTCACTGTCCAAGTCGGAGCGGGCGAAAGCCGCATTAGAAGCCGATATGAAGTATCTCTACTCTGCCTTTACCAAGATTCCCTGCCTGCGATTAGCCCCAGACCGTCGTGCCCGCCTGATCCGCGGATACGAGGAGTTCCCCTTTGACACTGCCGTTCCCCTCCATGCCTTTAAAAACCTGAGTGCCCTGGAGATCATCGATATCGATTATCGGTCGTTCTTCGGCTGGGACCGACTCTCCGAGCAGCTGCGGACGCTGACCGTGAAGCGCGCCAACCTGGAGGACCCGGGGGATCTGCTGACCGGGATCGTGTTGGATGACATCGATAAGCGCCGTCGACGGTCGGCCAAACATCAGAACTCGCCTGTCCTGCCGTGGAGCGGAAGCGCGAACCCCCAGCCGGTCCGCAAGTCGGAACTGTCGGGTTCCCTGTCGGCCCCGGGCTCCCCCGTGGCCGATACGGCGTTTGGCACGAGCTCCAGCCCCAAATCGGCCGCCATGGTGCGGTTGGGGTCGGAAGATGCCGCCCGCCGTCGACGCGCGGGGAGCATCTCTCCCACCCGCCCGACCACCAGCTCGAAACAGTCGGTCTACCGTCACAGCCGAGGCGCCAGCGCCCGGATCCGCCGCACGGGGTCGGGCAGCTCCAACTCCAGCGACACCTCGGGCTACCCGAATGGCAGCACCTCCCACCTGCCGTCCGACGCTCTGCCCACGTCCAAGTGGCGGTTCCTGCGACACCTCGGCCTGGCGGACAACTCGATGACCTCCGTCTCCGCCGCGGGTTTGGCCCCGGTCGCCAACACCCTGCACTCCCTCGACCTCTCCGCGAATCTCTTCACCGACGTCCCCGACAGCCTGGCGACCCTGGTCGCGTTGAGGGCCCTCAACCTCTCGAATTGCATGATTGACTCACTCCATTCCCTATCCCGCACCCCTCTCCCCGCCATCACGGCCCTCAACCTTCGGGGGAATCGTCTGCGCTCCCTGGCGGGGGTTGAACGTCTGCTGTCTCTCGAACGGCTGGATCTCCGCGACAACCAGCTGTCGGACCCCACCGAGATGGCTCGGCTCACCAGCCTCCCTGAGATACGGGAGATCTGGGTGTCGGGCAATCCGTTCACGAAGACCCACTCGGGTTACCGCGTGGTGATCTTCAACCTGTTCCGCCGCACCCCCGGCTATTCCGAGGACGTCATCATCGACGGGTCGGGACCGGGCTACACGGAGAGAAAGCTCCTGGTGGAACGCGTTGCGGAGCCGGAAGGTGCGCCCGTGGTCCGCATCTCGGCGGCAGACCGATCGGCCATCATCAGCAAAGCTGCCACCAGTGTCGTGGGGGCCAATGGTAGCCGGTCCGAGGAGCCGCCCTCCGGGGAAGGGCCGGTGCGGGAGGCGGTCTCGACCACCGACCTTGGGGTCGGGTCCAGTCGGCGACGGAAGGGCCAACGGCGGAGGATCGTGGACGCGACGAGGGAAGGGCCCGTGACTAATGGTAATTTCGCCCCAGGTGTAGTGGTGCCTTGTACCCCTTCTGTTCAGCCCGTCCAATTACCCGTTGCTCCGTTTGTCGCACCGTCTTCCGACCGTCAATGGAAATCTGATGGTGGACCCCAGGGCGACACACCTAGTGCTCAGAGCCCGGCCACGGTGGATGACGGACCGCGCCCCGTGGTCCCGCCGGCCAAAGAAGCCCTCGTGCTGCAGCGGACCGTCCATGAGACGGAGTGGAGCATGGAGGGGGAATTCTACCGACGGCAGCTGGCGGCGCTGCAGCAAGAGATGGGCAGCAGCCACTGGCTCGCCGTGCTCGGCGGCGAATCGGTCCATTCGTCGCGACCTGTGGGCATGGCTCGCACGGGCACCGACCTCGGGGACACGGCCATGCTGGCACCGGAACCGTTTCCGCGGACCAATCCCCCCGCGATCCTCAGCGGGGGGAGTACGATCTGATTGGAACGACGAAGAATAAAAAATAAAAATAAAAGGCGAAGAATGAATGACGAAGGAGAAGCAAAAAAGACGCCGTGACTCTTCACTCTTGATTGATTGATTTACCCACCAAACCTCCCTTTTCCCGACCATCCCACCATCCCACCAAAACCCACCACCCACCAGAGTCGCTGAACCGCATTGTTCCGGGCGTTATGCAGAAGAATTGCGAACGCGGAGGGCGGATGTACGAACATGTTGATTGAAGCGCCATCGTTATATACCCGACCGGCGACCCCCTATCCGACCCCCTATCCGACCCCCCTAGGCTGGACCATCTACCGGGAGGCAGATCATTTATGAAAGAGAGAATGTTGTTGATTTGTTAGATCGCGTGTATTGTATATGGGCCGGCGAGGGGAATGCGGGCGTTGGCGTTGTATGATTTATCTATGACTATTGTTTTGGGATTTCTTTTTTTTCTCTTTTTCTTTTCTTCTTATATCTTTCTTTCTTTCTCTTTCATATCTGTTTTTTTGCCATGATTTGATGAGTTCGTGTATACCTGCTTTCTTGTTGACTTGCGATTCCCTTTCTGCTTTTTGCTTTTCTTCTATTGTGTTGCCTTTGATGTGGTTTCGGATTACGCAGACAGACGACGGGATTCCGACTAATGCATGAGACATGAGATGGATGAGAAACACCTCCTTGACTTTATTGTAGACCTGTAGATAGTACTCTACTACCTACCTAGGTAGGTACCTTATATACAGTCGTATTAATAGCCCGTCTGGTCGGTGTTCGCCGCCTGTGGAATGGCCAATCAGAGGACAGAAGTGGAACTTTGGACCGGGTGGTTTTCTGCCGCAGCCAATCAGGACCATCTCGCCCTCCTTCCTGAGGCTTCATTCTTCATTCTCTCCCCTCTCGATCCCCTCTGTCTCTCGGTCTGTCTCTGTCTCTGTCTGTCTGTCTTCCCCTCTTCTTGACTGACTTCTTGATTCTTGATTCTTGTTTTCGACTTGTTCTTCTCTTTCGGTTCCACTGTTTCCAAACCCCCTTTGGCTCGGAATTTTCCTCACTGGTCAATCAAAAACACTAGGGAGTTTTCTAGAAGGAAAAGGAAAAGGGAAATTATAGAAAAAAATAAAAAAATAAAAGGAAGAAAAATCTTCTACCGCCCCGACCGCAGTTGTGTTGATCCCTTGATTACTACTCTTTCGACTCTCCTCCTCCTCATCCTTCTTCCTCGTTTTCTTCCCTCTTTCTACTATCCACCGAATACCCTCATCTCATCTCAACCTTTGCACTTCGGCTGCTGCTGCGACTGCGACTGCTGCGACTCTTCTAGTGTCTATTGTCATTACTGTCTCGCCTCGTCTGTTTTCTCATCCCCCACCGGACCTTGCAACGTCAAAGTCAGTTTCTCTTCGTCGCCTTGTCGCGCCCTCCTCTCTCGTCCTTGCTCTTATCTCGCCTGCTTCCTTTTCGACCTTCCCGTCGCTAGGACCTTTTTTTTTTTTTTTTTTTTTTCTCTATTTTTTTCTTCTTCGCTCTTCACACTCTCCCCCCCTCCCCCTGCTCTTTTTCGTCGTCGCGATCGCCCACGCCCGTCTCCACGCGTATTGTCGACTTTCTTAGAGGGGAAAAGGTTTTTCATCGGGTCCGTCGTCTGGCTTCATCTCCAGCCCCGTCTGCGATTCCAAAGGCCTGTTGGCCGATTCCTTTCGTCGTCTTCAGTTCTTATTCGGTAAGTTTGATCTCCCCTCCTATCTCTGTGTCTCTCCTCTCTCTGTCTGTCCCTCTCTTTCCCGATCGCTTTTTCGATCGCCCTCCCCAATCTCAACCATAACAACAACAACCAAAATTCCATCGGGCGCGTCGTCCCCCAGTCCCAACTCGGATTCTGTCCGACTTCCCCTGTTTGGATAACAACTCGATCGATACTAACCCATTGTTGCCTCTTCTCTTAGTGTATAGCCGCCGCGTCATCAATTGTATCACTACCGAGCTCTCCGCGACTCTCTCCCCCCTCTCTCCCTCTTCTTTCCCCTTTCGTCGGTCCGTCCTGGGCTGGTGATTTCTGTTCTTTCTTTTTTCCCGCTCGTTTTCGGTCGACTCGTTAGATTCTGCAAATCATGGCGGACCAGGAAGTGGATTTGGATTCGATCATCGATAGATTGTTAGAGGTGAGGGGCAGCCGCCCTGGGAAACAGGTCCAACTGCTCGAGTCGGAGATTCGCTATCTCTGCACCAAGGCGCGCGAGATTTTCATCTCCCAGCCGATTCTGTTGGAGTTGGAGGCGCCTATTAAGGTATTTTTCTCCTCTTTTTTTTTCATTTTCATTTTCATTTTTTTTTTGTCGTTCCGTTTTCTTTCTCTTTTCCCCTGCATGTCGATGTTCCTCCGACGTTACATCGCTAACCGCCCGGATTAGATTTGCGGTGATATCCACGGCCAGTACTACGATCTTCTGCGTCTGTTCGAATACGGTGGCTTCCCGCCCGAGGCCAATTATCTGTTCCTGGGTGACTACGTCGACCGTGGCAAGCAGTCGCTCGAGACCATCTGCCTCCTGCTCGCCTACAAGATCAAATACCCCGAGAACTTCTTCGTCCTGCGCGGCAACCACGAGTGTGCCTCGATCAACCGTATCTATGGGTTCTACGATGAGTGCAAACGGCGGTACAACATCAAGCTGTGGAAGACCTTCACCGACTGCTTCAACTGCTTGCCCATCGCCGCCATCATCGACGAGAAGATCTTCACCATGCACGGTGGTTTGAGCCCTGACCTCAACTCGATGGAGCAGATCCGTCGGGTCATGCGTCCTACTGATGTACGTTTTCCCGTCTTCTCCTCTATCTTATTGTTCTTATGATTATTTACCCTCCATTCTTGTGGGGGACTCGCTGGGCTTCCGCTCAAGGCTGATCCGCTGACCATGATAGATCCCCGATTGCGGTCTTCTCTGCGATCTCCTGTGGTCCGACCCCGACAAGGACATCACCGGCTGGAGCGAAAATGACCGCGGTGTATCATTCACCTTCGGTCCCGACGTCGTCTCGCGATTCCTTCAGAAACACGACATGGATCTGATCTGCCGTGCGCACCAGGTCGTCGAGGACGGTTACGAATTTTTCTCCAAGCGGCAGCTGGTCACGCTGTTCAGCGCACCGAACTACTGTGGCGAGTTTGACAATGCAGGCGCTATGATGAGCGTGGACGAGAGTCTCCTGTGTTCCTTCCAGGTAGGCTTTTCCGTGTCCCAATTTTATCAAGAATCCCCACTAATCAACGTCCGACAGATCTTGAAACCCGCAGAAAAGAAGCAAAAGTACGTTTACGGCGGCTCCAGCTCAGGCAGGCCCATCACTCCTCCGCGAAAGCAAAAGAAGAAGTAAGAAACCAATACGAGCTTTTCCATGTGCAGCAGGTTCGGGCGACGATAAACGTCACATCACCCTCTCCGACCATCTCCCATCACGAGAATCCGGCTCCCCCTCAGTCTACTCCCTCCACGACTTTTTCGATGGCCATGCATTAGACGATCGGAAGCATCATCCCGCGCAACCCGCCTGAGACCCGACCCCTCAACGAGAACGCAGACCGTTTTTTTCCCCCGACAGACACCTTGTTCATCATCTTCTCATAACTTTGTTCCCCGCATATCACCAAGACCCAGCGACTCCGATGATTTCGTTTTGCGCTATGATTTCCTGGACGGAAACGTTTCTGCTTCCCGTAGGGGGTTGGTGCTGAACTTCTTTCTTTTCTATCTTCTACTTTTCTTGTTCTTGTGTCTTTTTTTGTTCGTTTATCTTGATCAACGTGATTATTTTCTTTTTCTTTCCGAGAAATTCCTTGAACGAAGAGGGAGCGACGGGCTGCATCTGGTGTTCCTCCGTTTGCGCGTTGCTTTTTTCTTTACTCTTTTTTTCTCTTATAAAACCTTCCAAGTGAGTGTAATGCCAAGAATCAAGAAAAGCAAAGCAAAGCAAGCAAAGCAATAAGCAACGACGTTGTTCATGGTTTGGTTTGGTAGTCTGCAGCTGCAACGGCATTTGTTTCGGTAGTGATTGCATGAGTATGGCATGATATGATTGACCCACTACCTCATAGCCCGTCATGTCATGTCATGTCATGTCTCTACTTCCTGACGAAATGAGTAGTTGCATCTACTCACCTAGCCAGTTACAACCCTCCCTGCACACCCCGTCTCTTTCCCTTCCCAAGGAACGAATGAGTGAATGTACATCACATATCTTATCCAACTTAGGTTCCTCCGGTCTGTTGTATAACTATACATTATGCAACTATTCATCCACTGTATTATATAATGTATTATGTATTATGTATCTAGTCATCTAGATAGGCTAGATAGATAGATAGATAGATAGATAGCTAACTACCTACCCAGCCAGCGAATGTCCATCTCGATCATGCACAGACTATATAATCTTCCATAATTGCACGGATGGCTCTATCCATGTTTTGAAGTTCTACGAAGGATGGGCGGATACTCCAGATACATAGTTAGATTGGACTGTCAAATCCCCTTTCTTTTTTTTTCCTTTTCTATATTAGTGTCTCTTCTTTTTTTGCCCCCTTGCGGTGTTCTTTTTTGGGGTGGATTCGAGGTTGGGATGGAATGGAATGGATTTGGGAGGTTTGGTGTTTATGTTATTTGAATTTTACTATACTATACTATGCTATATCTATTATATTATTGTCCTATTATGGTAGATGGGGTGTATGGATTATGTGTCTCGTAGTGGTAGAGTAATGGACTAGTGGTTGGTAGTGGTGGTAGTAGAAGGGAGAAAAGAGAAGAAAAAAGTAGTGTATGTAAAGATGAGGTGTATCTAACTTATGACGTCTAGAATAGCACCTAGTATCTTCCTTGTGATACATTCAGATAGTGAATAGTATATAGTAGTATATATAATATTGTGGCAGTATAGTATAATATAATATAATACCAACAACTCCTGATATGGACAGAAGCAGCAATATATAGGTAGATAAAAAGGAAAAAAGATGAAAAGGGAAGAAAATAAATTAAAATAACAAAAAGGGCTAGAACATGCCCTTCGGTATATCACTCATTCGCCTGTGTCGCCTGGAGGACTAAACGTCCTATTTCGTTTGCTTGCTTGTTTGTGTCCTGATATCAACATTAACATCGTCCCCGTTTTCATATCCCCTGCTCAGCATCCTTCTTTCCACTGTCCTTCTGTACTGTCTACCCAATTGCTTGCTGGAGCTGTAATTGATACTAGCTAGCTGGCTAGGTACCGCTACTCATCTGTCTAGCTGATAGACAGGTGGGTTCTAGACTGGGCTGTCTAGACGTATTGCGACAACCACCTGATGCCTTCGCCGTAGCCTGTAAAATCCGTTAGCCATGTCTCACTCGCTAGGTAACTAGCTAGCTGGGGAGCTAGTGGAAAGCTGGTACATACCCTGCCTCATAACAACACTGCACATAAACACCTCAATCGGCCGGATCCCCTCAAGCGGCACCTTGCCCTTGCCCGTCGTCTGGTACAGACCCAGCTGGTGTCGCAGCTCGTCCTCGCTGACCGCATCCGGGTGGTCAATCTTGTTGCCCAGCACCAGGAACGGCACCTTGGACAGCTCCTCCATCGCCAACAGGGCGTCCAGCTCGGCCTTGGACTCGGGGAATCGCTCGTGGTCTTTGGCGTCGACGAGGAACACGATGCCGCTTACTTCGGGGAAGTAGTCTTTCCAGAGACGGCGTGCTAGACAGTGTTAGATTCGTGTGACGGAGGAAAAGGTGGGTGGGAAATACCCTGCTGATGACCGCCCAGGTCGAAAGTCGTGAAGCGGTTGTTACCGATGGCGAGCTCTTCCGAAGCTGTTGTCCGTCAGTTTTATCCACTCCATTATACCATCCTCCTTTATTTCCCTCCCTGCAAGCGTTTGCAGGCCAACCCGTCGGAATAAAAGGTAAACATACTCGGATGAGCCGTCGGCTGAAGAATCGCAACCCGGTCGTTCTGTATCACCACCATAATCAGCAAACCGTAAAGGATAAAAACCAACAATACCACCCATCAGACGTTGTCCTTCCCACCTCCGCCGCAAGTCCTCATCCTCCCCCACCCCCCACGTCTCTCCCACACAACCAACCCCCCAAACCAGAAACAAAAACAAAAACAAGAACAAACCCACCTTCAACATATGCAGCAGCGTCGTTTTACCCGCATTATCAAGACCCAGGAACAGGAGCTTCGCGTGCTTGTTCAGCAGGCCCAGAGACGCCAAGACGTCATAGACTAGAATTTCCAATTAGCATTGTACCCTTTTCTCCATCATTCTGCCCCTTTTATATCTCGCTGCGTTGCATTTCAATGCTCCCTTCCTTCCGTGTTGCTGGTCCGAGGTAGTAAAGCGTGGATCACGGGCTGGGGCGGCTCGGATCAAGCCACGGAAACGTGTCGGCTGGATTGAAGAAGGGGGAGAGGGGATGAATGGATGGAGCAGGTATACGTACACCAGTTGATGATCCACATTGTGAGGACGGCAGTTCAAAGCTAGTTTGAGTCGAACGGAGAAAGAAAGAACAGATAAGAGAGGAAGAGAAAGTTGGAGTAGTGGTGAGGATGATGCCAGAGAAGAGACGGTCAAGACAGGTGTCGGGGACGGGTTGACGTTGGATGGCTTGGCTGGTTCGGTCTTGGCGGCTACCCGCGCGCTTAGTGGACCGCCTGAGCCGCGGATCAATCGCCGGAACTCTTCAAGTGTGTCTGTCATGTTATAACTCTCAAGTTATGGACGTTGTGGACTTTATTTTACTGTTTAGTATGAGAGTTTTTGGTAAATGATTATTTTGACAGAATCTGCCTAGTCTGGTCTGATCTACTACAAAACAACGCAGGGGTATCCTCCATTTGAACCGCCCATGCAAACATCCGACCGAAGAACCGTTGACAAAGAAAAGAAAGTGATGCGGAATAAGAATATGTATAGAGAAAAAATAAAAAAGCGATCACGCTGTAAATGCAGAAACAAATGTCCTCCGAAACACGTAAGGAAACACATAGACACATGAAGGACACAAACCACTGAGGAAATGACAAGGAATAGCGAATGACGCGAGTTCAATCCACCAGGTCCTGTCAAATGAGCGGTTTGACCTGTAAAGTTGAACACACAGGTATGTACAAGAAGAGCACAGGGCACACGTCGGAGACAAAAGCCTAGACGGAGAGGACGAGCTGCGCGTTGTCGCCAACACCGTAGGCCCGGGTTCGCTCGGCCACGGCTAGGCCGAGATCCTTCATCCGTTCGGCTCCTTTGCCTGGGACGCGGCGTCGCTCCATCTGCTCGCGCGCAGCTTTGCGGCAGTGTTGTCGCCAGAACTTTTCCTTTCGTTTCTGGCGCTTCTTCTCGAGACCCTCGACGATGTCGATGGGCCCGCGGGTGTGGAGCGTGTCGCCCTCGGGCGATTCGCAGAGGCAGTCCATCCAATGCTGCGGCCGGTTGAAGAAGGGGTTGGGGACGCGAGGCAACGACTTGGTGCGAGTGAGGGGCGGCCGCTGGACCAACTCGCTGATGTTGAGACCCTCCAGGCGGCCGGTAGGTGGGGGCTCGACCAATGTAGTCTTGGACGGAGACCTCAACTTCATCGGGGGCGGAGGCGAGCGAAGACGCCTGGGAGACATCCGACCCTGACGACGAGGGGGCGGAGAGACCATACGCTGGCGAGGCGGAGGGGAGACCAGACGCTTGGGTGACATCCGCGGAGACATCTGGCGAGCCTGATCGGACCCAGCTCGTCCACGGGGAGCTTCGTCAAAAGACTCCTTGACCTCCTCCTCCCCCTCCTCCTCCTCTTCTTCTTCTTCTTCTTCCTCCTCGTCTTCGTCCTCCGGGTCCGACGTCGGAAAACTTGGGTCGATATCTTGGGGAATCACGATCTGCTTGGAAAGACGCCGTTGTTCGACGCAGGACTTGTACGCAGCCTCCAAAGGGCGGTCTTCGTCGAACGTGCCACAGACAAAGTCGGTACTGTCGGGGAGGTTGGGGGTGCTGGGACGCATCTTGGGAATCTTGGTCGGACGCGCCATGCCCTTGGCGGAGAGCGCCGGCGGCCATCTCCGTTCTTGGTTGTCGTTGGCAGAGTCAAATGAAAAGGTCGAGTCACGCCGGGGAAGAGTAGCCCGGGGAATGTCAAGCACCTGTGGACTCGTGGCCGCGGTCGTCGAGCCGGGAGCCCAGAATTCGTATTCAGAGCCGTCATCGCTTTCGTCAGAATCGGCGAAGCCCGCTTCGTTGTCCGATTCGTTGCCATCATCCTGGTCGGATGAGTCACTCGTGATCGAATCATCGTCTGCGTCATCCTCATCGTCGTCGTCCAGAAAATCATCCTCTTCGTCATCGTCCAAGGCCTCCTGCTCTGCTTCTTCGCCAAGCTTGCGAATGGCGTATTCTTTCTTCATGCAGTCACTCAGCGTGATCTTCTCCTTGTACTCACCAACCTGGGTGACCCATTCGTCATCCTCCTCCTCGGAGCTGGCGAACTCGTGAAAACGGGTAGCCTCGGATTCCTCGAACTTGCCCAAACCCCGGGTGGGAACCCCTCTAGGGGAGTCAGTCTTCTGCTGGGGAGCTACCGAGATCCTTGGCGTGGCCTCTGCGTCCGAGCACGTCTTACGGGCCATCGGGGCAGGTGACCCGCGTAACCGGGATCGAAGATTGGGAGTACGGATAGGAGAGCGTTCGCGTCGCGTCTCTGGAACCCGCGCGGGGCACACGAACGTGAGCGTCGTCTTCCGCTTTACGGACTCTGTCGGGGTCTGGTCGACTTCGGGCTTCTTGGGTGTCGTCTGAGCAGCGGGCTGCGATGTCGGTGCTGGCTCCTCGGCCTTCCGCCCGCATGCAAAGCTGATGCACCGCTTGCGTCCCAGATTAGCTTCGATAGCCGATTCGCCGGCTTCCTTGGTAGGGGATTTTTGAGATTCGGAAACGACGGGTCGGTTGATGAACTGGGTCGGGAGCGGCGGACTCGGGTTCGACAGGGAGAGGCTGGTGAGGCCTCCGTCACTGGTCAACTCATCCGTCGAGATGCCGCTGGCCGTGCCGTACTGACAGGCCCGGTAGTGGATGGATCCATGAAGAGAGGGCAGTTCCTCTGACGGGCTCGAGAGGGGACTACTCCGGAGGGCACGGGTGAGGAGGGACTCTTGCCGATCGGTTCCGGCGGTGGTGGCCTTCACGTAGACCACATTGTCGTCGTCCATGTTGATAGGGCCGGAGTTCAGGAAGCGGTGATCGAGGGGTTCATCAATATCTTCGGGCATATCGGGGTCTTGTTGCGAGGCCTTGTTTTGATGAGGCGACAGCAGCATCTTCAAGAAGTTATGAATAGAGGCGAACGGTCGGTCACCACGCAAGTGAGCCATTTCAAAAAGGTAGGGATTTGAGGTGGAGAGAACAGGGTGAGAGGGGGTGATGGATTGTAGGTAATCGGCGGTATAGATAGACTCGAGGGTGGCGGCGGGTAATAGTGAATATTGATAGGGATCACAACTTGTCCAAAGATACAACACAGTAGCAAAGGTCCGAGGAAAAGGAGCTCTCAATATCGATCAATAGTGCAAGCGATCGACCTCGAGCAGCAGATAAAGTGAAGTCCCGCCAAGGACGCAAATTGTCATGATATAAAACTCATGTTGGGGGAGGGGCGAAGAGAGAGAGAGAGCCGGGATACAAGAGGATCAAGTAATAGATGGATTGAAGTAGGCATATGCAGGCCAAGACAAGGGATTGACGCCTTCTTCAAAGAATGGCAGCTCATAGAGCGCCAGGAGAAGAAGACGCGTCGAGAAGAGACGCAGAGGTAATGTGTTGGCAGCACAGGGTGGGATGTGAGAGTTTGGGGGGGGAAGAAGGAAGAGGAAAGAGAGGAAGAAAGGAATGTGAAGAGGATCGGAAAATAAAAAAGTAGTAAAAAATGGGGGTGGGTTTAAAAAAAATTAGAAAATAAAAAATAAAAAATGGAAAGTGAAAAAAGAATAAAATTAAAATGGGGGAAATAAAGATGATTTAATAATAAAAAATTAAATCAAATCAAATCCATGAGAAAGAATGTGGTTCTTGGTGAACAAGTAAGAAGGGAAACCACACTAGGTCAATTTCGTACCAAATCTTTTCAATCTGTGGTTTCGATGATGACAGGGCGGGAGAACGGGTAGAGTACAGGATCATGTCCGGGTTGCTTTGTTGATTGGTTTGAGAATTTTGGTTTTATCGTACCAAGATTGTACCATTCCTGTTTATTGTTTGTATTATTAATTTGTAAATAAATGAAAAGAAAGAACAAATCCCCTCCTTCCCTTTCTAATCTATTACTGTGCCATGATTACTGTGCTTTATTACACATGTGCCTACAGAGTATACTTTCATAATTCGTATAATATAGACAGACAATTGGAGGGCACAGTGAGGCAGAGGTAGTCTCGGTGATCAGGGGTCGCCACCATCAACCAAAAAAAAAGGAAAAAGTGACATGAAAAAAACAAATGTAGGTGAGTGGAAAAAAGAAATCCACCGCCCACCATGGAAATACAGTTTTCTGATCTTCTCTTGGGCTTCTTTTCCTTCTGCAGGCCAACTCCCACCAAGGGCGCTCGGTCCAATCAACCCCGCCAAGCCTTGACCCACCCGGTCGTTTTTCGCTGGGCAAAAATCCCTGCGTCCATCTGTTCCTGCGGTTACGATTGTATGAAAATTACGTCTGTATTGTATTGGTACTGTTCTGTTTGACCCCCTAGTTGTTTTCCCCATGTCACACAGTCAGAGGGACAGAGAACTACCACCTGAAGAGACGAAGAAAGAAAAGCCTACCAGAAGACAAGAGTCATAGTTATCTTAAGAAAGGCTGACCAGCTCTAAGGACGGCACGGCAGGAAGGTTACAGGCCGGTTTCATTCAGAACTCGCTAGCATTTGACTAACTATGAGGCATTTAGAGCGCCAGACATCTCGCAACAAAAAAACCAGATCGCTAGCCTAATCGGGTAATTGTCCATCTTGGACGGGAGCCTCGAATGACTAATGCCATGCCCGCAGTAAACTCGGATACGGAAGATTAAGTACGGAGTATGGTAAATGTATCTACTATCTTGCAGTTTCACCCACTGGACGGAGTACTCTGGAAGGTACTTTTCTAGAATCCGTCAAACGTGAGATCAGTCCTCCACTATCAGGGCTCTCTCGCAGGCTGGATGCGAGGGACTGGAGACAGAGGAGTTCGTACTACTGACACAGAGAGATGTTAGTATGTCCATGTTAGCCTTGTGGGTTGCAAAGAACAAGGTTAATCACGATGTCCTCCTTATTTGTCATTTTATCATGGCAGTAGTTGTCATTATTAATATTAACATCATGATGGACGCTGTTGAGACGGCGGTAACCAAACCCGAGCTCACAAATGTCACTTCTTATCCATTCCCATTACTCACGGGATTCATTATTTATCAGCGGAACATTATGCACTACGTAAGATGTTCAATAAAAGCCAGGCCTCATACTCAGTGGTAGGTATACTCTGATGGAGACGGAACACTGAAAACCAATCCAGTCCAGACCATCCAACAGATGAATCCTTATCCCGCTATTGACTGGGTATACGCCCGCGGTCTATACCTACCTCGTTACCTCCCTATGGAACCAACTAGTTCCGAATGGACAGGCATATGACTCGACCGCATATTGAATCCGCCTGACTGGTGTATAAACTCCGTGTGCCCCCCTCCTCCCTCGCTCACTCGCTGCCTCTGGCCAAGGGGAGTCGCCTAAACACCAGCCCTCCTCCCTCTTCAACCCCGACTTCCATCAGGCTAGCTCGAAGACGCTCGGCCCAGTTTCTGTTTTCAACCCTTGTCTGTCAGCCCCGTACTTTGCACCTCCTTTTCCCACTATCTCCAGCTTCCCCTCTATTTGATTGTCCCCCGGTGCTATGCTGCTAGCTCGAGTGGGAAGGTGCTGTAGGCGCCCTATGCGCACTTGCTAGTCTACTGACCTGTGAATGGCTTCAATCCGTTCTGGGCGAGTCAGTAGGTAATAAGTAGTCGATAACGACGTAGGTAGGTAATAGTTAGTCACCAGCCCTTCCTGCTTGGCTTGGCAATTACAATCAATCCCTCAGCCTGCTCAATGCGGAAAGAACCCCCAACTGAGTGCCCAGAGTCGAGTCTTGCCGACCAGCCGGTAACAAGGGTCTTGTCACAATACGTGACTAATACCAATGACGTATTTGACGGAAGATACGGTGAAAAATACCCACAGAGGTACCGTTAACTGTTATGTGAACTGTTAACTAACTGTACCCTCGACGATCCTTCCCGATCCTCACCTCACCTCATCTGTCCGGATTATCCATACCTAGTTATCCTGGAGGAAGGTATCTGTCAGCGAAGGAAGGTAAAAGGAATAGAATGGAAGCAAGCTGCACGAGAATCCTTGACGAAGCATTCAATCACATTCTCTCTACCCCCTTACTTCAGTGACGGTGGGATCGAGACCGATACATACATACATACATACTATACACCTAACCTACCGCTCTCGCTGCGACCCTACCATCATCATCCCGCATCCCGTCCACGGAATCATCCGACCATGACGCTATCGAGTCGGCCTCGCACGGGAAGTGCATGATGGGTGGTATGTAAGTCCGGGGAATTTAGACTTTTGCCTGTCATCATACTCGTGCTAGGTTGGGGCTGTTTTTTCTCTGGGCATTGCTACTTTGCCCTGCTCAATGCTCACCGAGGCTATGCTAAGCGGGTATGCAAGTAGGGGGGCACAGCAAAAACCTAGGTATCTAAGTAGGTATCTAGGTACAAGGTACGAGGATAGTAAGACGAGTCGGGATACATCAATTCAAATAAACCAAGACAATAGTATCAAATAGGATACATGTCTGGAGCCTGACCCCTACTATCACTATGACTACTGTCTGGGCAGAATAGCGTGTCTTGGCCGTACAACACCGTAGAGGATCGTCGGAGCAGAAAGGGTGCGATCGGGATCGGACTCATTCCCCAGAAAATCAAAAATAACCGCTGACTATGAAGGATGAAGATAACTAGTCAGGCTATGAAGATGCTACAACTAATGACTATCTATTCCATGACGACAGCTTACCGATAGCGTACGTACACAAATGTGCAAGGTGTAGGCAGCATCAAACTGGCAGACTGCCATTGAACAACCCCAGCCTGCAACAGTGGCACACCCCCTGCCATCTCAGCATGTACTCCACCATGATCATCGCAGGATGAACATTCATTTGGGTGTTCTAAATTGGGAATTAGGATTGGGGAAGGCTGATCTTGGCAGGTCTGATGATGTTGAGTGATATTCATACCTACCTAGTGTTTAGGCATTCATTGATTGAGTGGCAGTGTGCTTGTATCGCCCTCTCGAGTCCTCTGTGCTGACTACTGTATATACATTCGGCGATGTATACGCCACTCGAGCGACCATGTGCCAAGCTGTCGTGTCGTGCCGCCCGGTCGGTCGCATATCCTTGGTCCCGTGTGTACAGTTGTATCCATAATGAAATCACATCGCCGATGATAGTCCTGATAACGGACCAATCTGTTGATATTATACGAATGAATGTTGAAATAGGAAATGATCCCATAACGTGTGACACCTGAAGCACAGTATTCGACAGAGAACAAGAAGAAAAGAGGCGATGTGACGACAGATCTCTGTGCCCGATGATCGATGATGTCGGAGAAGCGGTCAGAAGAATCTCACCATGGTCATTAATCTCGCAACCCAGTCTCCAGTTTTACCCTTTCAACCGAACGAGTCTTCTTCTTCTCCTACATACTAACCCGATATGCGCTCAGGGTTGCAATGGGTCATCCGGCACCAGGTGGTCAAGCTTCTTGCAATTCATGGATAATCTCCACTTGATCCAGCGGTTCTCATTCGTCTTGCCTGGTTTACATGCACTCCCTTGATTTGGTATTATCATTGCTTCATGATTATCGTGTGTTATTACTGTCGATTGTTGTTACTATTCTTACCATCATTATTACTGTTATTATGCTGCTGGACAGCGCCAATTACCCCCAATAGACTAGACTACTGCCTATCCAAGTAATTCATGCCTGACCAAATCCGACCCGCTCGATCAACAGCCAATTCAGTAAACCCACCGTGCGGTCTACCCCTAAACTTCGAAAGTCGACTCTAGTCCAGTGGGGAAGACAACAGACAAACGAGGCGATTTGCTCCGTGCACGAGGCCTCAACAGTCAACACACCTCGAGTCGTCCACAGACCTCGGCGTAGTGTACTCTATACAACGTACCATGTCAGCCCTGGGCCCACGCTCATCAAGTCAATCAAAGGTCAAAGTTTCGAAACATTTGAAACCGACAGATCGACCCCCACGTTAAACAGACAGGCCCTCCATCAACAAATCGCATGGTAATTCCCCGTTTGGAGCTGGCAGCGCAGTGTCCCCCCACGGCCCCCCTGACGCAGCAGGTGACTTGACTCCATACAGAGATCTACGCAATTCGAAACACTCCGACCCGACAGGTCGCTCACCCCTACCCGTCGACCACGGTCCACCGGGGGGGTGAGATTGCGCTTCTCGTGAAGCAGCAGCATCAGCAGCAGGAGCATGGATATCCGGCCCCCCCTTTTTCCCACAGGGATTTGACACCTTCCATTCATCCATAGGGTCCATGCCATCCACGGGGCGTTTTTTTTTTTTTTTGCTTTCCCTAGACGGGGCGGGTCCTCTCTCGCCCACCCCTCCTCGGGGTGCATGCATGAAGTTACTATAGCCGTGACTAGCGGAAAATAGCAGCTACAGCAGCATCCGGCGGCGCTACACTACACTACACTGCACAAGAATCTCAACTAGCGATGACTAATCTCCCTCGTGGGCAGGATACCGAGCCAGCACAGCAGAAACACAGCATCGCGCAAGCAAACTGAAATCAACGCCAGCCTCCCCCCAAGCTTTTCGTTTGACCGCTTGATACGGTTGCTTTCCCACCGGTGACGCGAAGGGGCAGGGAAAGCCGGTCCTATCAGGCCGTTAGGGTTCGAGCTTCCCCCGGGCGTTCGTTCGCGAATGGCTGGGGCGGGTTGCCGGGCAGTATGGCTTCCGGAGTGGAGATGGTGAGTTGTTTAAGAAACGAAGTGGAGAGTTTGGTGGAACGTTCCTGTTGGAGTTGGAACTGGAGCTGTGGACTGGACATGGGATAGGATTAACCCATCATCAATCCCTCAATTCAGAGGAAAAGATGACTTGCTGGTGGTGAGAAAGTGGGGAGACAGCGGACAATTGGTACGATGCACGGATTCCTACCGAGTACCAACCTGAGGCTCCATAGATACGAGCGAGATAGTGATTAATTGCCCTCTGTGATGGATTGACTGTCAGGCCGAGGTCGGCGCAGGACAAGCGAGAGCCCACCGGAACTCAGTATGAGGGATTAATTGCCCGGGTCTCCAGCTGGCACTCTGCACGGGGCACTTGTTGGACCGCCACTAATTTGACTACGGCTGGTTTGGATGCATGGCGGTCGGCTGAATCCGGTTAGTTTCGCCTAAAACGTTGACTGTGGATGAGTAATACAGGGCTCTACCCAAATCAAGACAGAGTTTGGAGATTCAGGGCGATTCTGCACGAGAGAAAACCAGCCCCCGAACTGTTGATGCTCGATAAGTTCGGCTGTCCGAGACTAGTTATCCACTGTTCAGTGGTCACCACTCGGCCGCTAAGTTAGCTCTGTGCAGCTGGTCGAAGCATCTCTGTCCGAGATAGGGGACATGATTCCATACATTGTGGCGGTACGGTATGTATAGAAAATTACTTCAAAATACCACAACTGTCATCGGTATAGAAACGTAGGTATACTTACGGTACGCGACATGGGGACGAACATTGAAGACAGGAGGAGAGACAGCACATGGGCTTCGCCAGACACTGTCACATTTTTTAGAATCCTTACTGCTGAGATCAAGATTCGAAGCAAGGTCACCAATAATCAGAATGATCGATCGTTCGCCCAGGTCATCCGCGTCGTCAGGTGGAATTGGACCGGTATGAGTGCTCTCAGGGCATAAAGAGCCGTCCACAAGCAAGATTCCGACTCTATACCCCTTATCATGCTAGGACAAGTCAGCCCTGAAAAGACCAAAAAGAGATGTCTTGGCAGGTTCGTTGTCGAGGTCGCACGGCATGATCGACCGCCATAACTCTTTTCGGTTCTCCGTTGCTGCCAAGAAATCCCGCCAAGCACTGCCAAGCACTGCCAAGGCGCATCACGGTCGATCATCAGATTCCTTGTCTGGCTGCCCTCCTTGCGCAACCCTTCTTTTCTTTTTCCGTCCTTCTTTTTTCTTATTTATCTATCAGTTATTATTGTTATTTTTAATTAAACTATTGAGTGAGACGTTGACGTTGTTTTGGCTCGTTCGTTCCACAACAGCGCTTGGCACCTATTCAAACGGCAACAATGGCCGCGCCAAGACTAGACAATGCGCCTGTTCTGTCGTCTCCCTCATTCCCGTCCGCTTGCTGGCTTCCGTCATCCGATAACACAGCGAGAATGGAATGAAATGGAATGAATTGATGCCCGTGGCGGTGCTAGACGCCCAGTCCCGCCCCTATTCGGTCGCGAGTGTACACTAGTCGCTGTACACCTGCCATCCAGTCTAGCCATCCATCCACTCACAGTATACATCTCCATTCCCCTGATCGACCTCCTTGCCTCCCGCTGCCAACATAGATGCCAACTACCCATAAACCGCTTTCTATCCCTTCCGTGTCCAACAAATGTCCCGCCAAGAGTCATAGCCAGAGCCAGCGCCAACCCGACCAACTCCCCGCCAAGCCCGTCGGCCACTTCGGTCGGAATACGAAAGAGCCGGCCCTCCAGCCAAGACCACTCGTGTCCTGCCTGATTGATCCTGACCCCAATGGTTCCCTTCTTATCAGCAACACTGTATGACCTCATGATGTACGTCTGCGCCTCGCCGAGCCTACCTAGACAATCCCCAAAGTCTATCCATTCCCCCCTTCCCCCGCCAAGACAAATCCCCCGTCGATCATCACAGACACGGAAAGTCTAGTGGGAGGGGGTGTTCTTGGCGGGAATAGGCTGACAATAAATCTTGGGGGGGGCGCCCGCCTGCCACTCCGGGCCCCGGATGTACCGTCGATCAGGGAGAAGCCGGTAAAGCGGGTGTGACACTGCATGCGCCAAACAAAAAGAAAATATACCCCAAATAGAAAATATGGTAAACCTAAAAAAGCAAGCTGGCAGAAGAGTTGAAATGTACTACTACTGATAAGAAACACAGACACAGCCCGGCACACGGACAGACACAGATAGACACAGTTCCTGTGATCGACCGCAGCCCTTGTGCTGAAGAACTAGAACCCGCACCATACTATGATCGGGTTGCGCTTCGTTCTTGGCTGCGTCGCCGGTCATCTGCTGGATACTCACTTGCCTGCCTAGATAACCGCTCTTATCTATGCCATGCACAGGCTGGCGCTTGGCGTCTCAGTTGTCGTCTCCGTAATCTTCTTGCCTAGTTTTTTTTTAGTAGCAGGTGCCAGGCGCTGCGCAGTCGATCATTCTACTAGGGCTATGGGATCTACATACACTCTCTACATTCTCGTGCGCGGAATGTTCCTGCGGGAGAATCACTGCCTCGATGCATATGTATCGAAAAGCGGTTCACGATTCTAAGCTCCCTTGTACATGCTCGAACTTTCCCTTGCTTTTCTTTTTCTTTTTCTCACGAGATGGTCATTCGGCCAGTTTGGAAGTGAATCGCATCGCATCCCTTCCAAATAACGTTCTCCCTGGCTGGGCGCTGACTACCATCTCGCAGCGCCATGCAGCGGCTTGGCGGGCAGAGAACACCGAGAATGTCTGTTATGGGTAAGTATTCTCGGAGACAGGCTGGTGATGAACTAGTAGAAGACCGGCAGGATGGTTGATTCTTAGAGAAATGTAGTAGATGACGCATGAGTGCATGGCTTTACTTTCACTAGGAGTAGGTATACTGAGCTAGCACGCAGTTCGGCAAGAGCTATTGAATTAATACAGTAGAGGTGGTAACTAAGGCTGAAAGTTGTCTATCTGCTTGCATTGCATGTGTAGTAATGATTATGTCTGTTGAATTGCAGTAGCAGGGTGGACCTTGTGGATTGCATACTCTTGCCGGGATATATACAATATACCAAGTCAATATGTATATGACTTCATCCATCTCTGCCTTCACTCCCTAGCGTAACTACTAGAACTGATATACAAACAACACATACCAGACACGCAATGTAGCACAGAAGTGTATATCCCTAAGTATCCATACACTCCTCGCACCCCCACACATGAATGAATATCCCCAACCCCACCCACCCACCCCCATCTGATCATTTCGATCCGTCCACACAAACCAAGCCAACCACCCCAAGCTAGAGACTCCCTACCATATAATTCCTACCAAGTATACCCTCTCCACCAGTGCTGAAACAGCTCACGAGGCCGGTCAGAAGACAATTGCGTCATACCTGCCAGAAAATCCCACTCCTCATATACAACACCAACCTAGGTAGGCAGGTAGAGTTATCGTCTTGTGAAGACTACATAGTACCTATTATAACCGCGGTAGGGAACGAACCGGGGAGACTCAGTCAGGGATTATAGACGAATGATCGATTTGGGTGGGCTGTCTTTTTCGTTTCATGTGAGATTGGGTGTAGTTGGACCGATACTGGCATCTAACATCCCAGGGGAATTGTCTTGCCATGTGGGTGGGATGATACTCCAGTACTAACTCTTCTAGTCAAAATACAATGTTTAATCATGATGAGGGAAAATATAATTAATCCCGAAACGCTCGAAATGCAAAATACCAATGTACGTATATGTACCCAAGTTAGAGATAAACAAAGAAATGTACCGACAACAAAAGAATAGGATGAAATAAAGGAGACCCTCGATCGCCGGTCCGAAACACCGAGCTTGAAACAGACAAAGCAATCCAAAAATAAAGTAACTAACAAGCCAAAGAAAGTCCGCATACGATCATGACAGAACCAAAAAAAAAACCAGTCAATCACATTCGTCGGACTCCTCGGGCCGCGGTCTTCCGGCCAGCCCATTTGTGAATAGGACGCTGTCGTCGCTGGTGACGCGTCTTGGTCTTCTTCCACCATCTTGCGATCGTTTTCTGTGCCCAGAGGATACGGTCCCGGGTTTGCACGACAGCGGCGCAGTGTTGGGCTACGCTGTAGGCCAGAGTGCGGAGGTGGAGTTCGCGACGGGCGAGGACGCGACGCCAGGCGTTTTGCAGTACGGTGGCGGCTCGGGCTCGTTGGCTGGCGGGGAGGAGGCGAGAGCAGAGGAAGGCGAGTGCCCCGATGGTTAGGTCGCTGTCGAGGACGTGTGTCTTGCCTGATGGACCTGAGAGGACAAGGTGCGCTGGGTTGGTTGGTTAGTGTGGGTTTTGCAGGGGCATTGGTATGGTAGGTGGACTTACTGAATTCTGCGCTGCAGCCTAGTGCGCGGAGGCGGGATGCCAGCTTGGGCAGAGTCTTGGGCAGAGGATTGGACGGGCTATCTCCGCGGACGTACTCCTCGTATTCGTCTACGATGGCTGCATAGATCTTGCCGTCGCCAAAGCTTGTGCTGAAGTTCTCGAAGTGAAGACCTTTGAGCCCTGCGAGAATGGACACCCACCGTGTGAGCAGCGAGATGGACTCGTCGTTCTCTGCTTTTGAGTTGCTTGACTTCGCTCCGGTGAACCAATCTGCGCAGCTGACCTGCTCATATCCAAATAGGGAAATTGCCTTTTGCGTGAGTCGGTCAATCTCCTTCCTCAGATCATCCCAGTCGACGAGTTTGGCCAATCCCCATTTACTGACCAGTCCCCAAAGCAGGGAGACGGTTTTCTCGCGGTGACCGTCCACGATGTCTTCGGCCCGCACATGGGAAACAAGCTTCTTGGACGATGGCATGGCGGCCAACGAATCTAGTGCAATCTGCACGTTGAAAAGCTTCACCGCTCGGCCAAGACAGGGAAGTTTTAGGTTCTGAGAAAGCGACCACTGACGATCTGGCGATGGGCTTCCGTGCTGGGGAGTGAGGTCGGCCGCACCTGCGAAACTATCCGAATACGAGGTAAGCGGGTACAGCAGCTCTACCACCCTGGTCAGTCTAACCCCATCCCGGAGGTCCACAGCAAGGTTGTGCATGCGGAAGTCGTATTCCTCCAGTGGATGCTGCTCATAATCCAACTGGCAATCCAGATGGCCGAGCGCCTTCAGGATGTCCCCTGATGACGGGAGAAGAAAGCGAGCCAGGCCTTGCAACACGGCCGCCGATGATTTGAAGGGCGACGAAGCGAGGAAAAGACGACGGGGGATCGTTGTCCCTCCCATTCTGCCTTTGTCGAGAAGTATGATGATCATGATGCTGCGGAGAACCGTGCGACGATATGCGTGGCCTACTGCGGCTGGATCACTGCCACTAGTTTCTTTCGCGCTTCGATCTGTGTCCCGGTTTTGCAGCAGGAATGCGTCTAGGAAGCCCTCAAGCTTTTTCTTGAGCGAACGTTGAGTGTCCGATGCTGCTCTTGCATCGAAGCCAGAGTCCTGTGTCACCGGGGTCGGTATCCTCCTTCCAGTAATAGTTTCCATGGCGGCCCTCAGGGCTCGGAGATCGTACGTCCGTGTCCAAAGATCCAAGAATTTTCGTTTCATCCCCAAGTCCTGGGTGAGTCGACTGTTTTTGATGAGTACATCCTTTGGGATGCTCATAGCTCCATATAGAACAGACGCCTGAACGCGTTTATACAAATGCGTAAAGGAGGGATCTTGGTAAAGACCTAAGAGCTCATGCCGGAGTATGGCCGGGTCGTCGACACCCTGGCTTTCATCTGGTTGTCCAATTAGGGTATTCACCAATTGCGATATTACCGCTTCTTGGTGTGAAAGCCAGTCATCTTCGTACATTGCCGTGGTTGTAATGTTGTCGGGAATGAGGGGGTACTCGTCATCCAAACGCCTCACGCTAGACGAAACCTTTGTCCTGGAAAGAGCAGCGGTAGGTTTCGAGTGTCTTAGCGGCTTGGTGGTAGAGTCCCTAAGGATGGTCGATGCTTCGAGATTCACTGAGTTTGATTTCTGCCTGGCACTGATGTTGCTCTTCACAATATCGGTTGAAGTTTGGTTCGACCTATTCCGAGTTTTCAGGACCGCTCGCTGTAGGGACCCGTTTATAGATGCTGTAGAGAGCGGCTTGGATACAACCTTTTGACGGGAAGCGTCACCAGATCCACACTGTACCGACTTGGTCGCCTTCGAATCCTCAGCGGGGGGTTCCCAGAGCTTGTAAGGCTGGACTTTCTTCTCGCCCAGTACCGATCCCGGGGGAATGTTCTCTTTACCACCATTTTTCCCGACAACGTCAATTTGAATGGAGGATTCCTGAGCAATCTTCAAACTCGGTCGTAACGGTGGGCGATGGATCGAAGCTCGCGACTCGTTCCCGTGTCTTCTTCTGAAAGACTGCGTTTGTACACAGTTGGACTGGGTATCATCAGACACGGATTGCTGCGGAATTGATTTGACCGGACTGAAGATATCCATGAACGTGCTCGCAACGGTGGTCTCATCTGGTGGGACGTAGACCGTATCACGGTGGACGTCTGTCTTGCGAGGCGAGGGCCTCGACCGGGCGCTGCCATTGATCTTCACCAAAAACTCCCGATTGGCTGCCGCAGTGGCCTCCGGGGTAGGCACTGGCTTCACCGGATCAACAGTCTCCCTATATCGTTTCGATGGACTCGGCGCAAAGCTGACTTTGGGGCGGAACCTTTGGGCGGGCTGGGCGAGCAGCGAAGTCTTCCGGTTGACACCTGAGTCGGCCATGCTGTCGTCTCGTCTCCGTTTGTTGGTCACTTGATTTGATTTCGCATCGTCTTCCTCGTGAATTGCAAAGGAGGAGCCGGTCTTGGTGCGTCGTCTGGGCCTGGTTCCTGTCAAGACAGGCTTTTTCACCTCCATGGTGAAGTCGATGTTGCATGTTTCGTCGCCCTGATCTGCGCTGCTGTCCCACAGGCCGGTGACCGATGTGTTGTGATTGCTGCATCGGTCCAACCTGGGGATTCTTGACTTTGGCGGGCACGGCGTTCCGACGTCTTCTAGGAGGCCGGACATGATGTGTTGACGTGAATATAACAGATGTAAGTTACCATGCGCGTTAGCTTGGTGATGTTTGGGATTGTTGTCGTCCTAGGGGATCATCGCCTTCGCGGGGAATCCCGTCTACACTCGAAATGCAAATTCCGGTTGAATCGAGGGATAGTAGTGGGCAGCAAGGAAGCACGCGGGGGAGGAGACAAAAGGGTAATGATCGGAGGTGGGTGTGTTGACGGGTGTGAGATCAAGGTTTCCGCGCTGAAGTCGATATTAAATTCAATCTATCAGGATTGGATAAATGCCGTGTGTTTTAAATAAGCCGATCCGGGGTTAAAGCGAGTACCAAGGAACTGAGATAGACCAAGAGAGCGTTAAGGAGGAAGAATGGAGCCGGACGCGATGTTGACGTGTGGTTGCCCCCGCAACGTGGCTTGTGGGGCCTGGGTAATCGGGCACCCTGCCAGTTCGAGATTGTGTTGACCAGCCAGACAGGGGATTGAGAGGTTCTCTTTCTTTGGGGATCTACATACTACCCGAAATTGAGTATCGTTGAAGAGGGCCTAGATGAAAATATTGTTCATCAGCGGCCGATTCCCCAAGAGTTTGCTACCTATATCTATGGATGTCCTATATATATCCACGTCAATTCGATTCCCTGACGAAGTCTCGAAGTAGGCATGCTGTCGAATCTCATGACCCAGGCTGCAAACTTGAAAAGGAGCAACCAATCTTAATTGTGGTATATATCTGGTGATAACGGATCATTATTGACAGTATAAGATCCGTGAATAAGACTGCGGTCACTGGGAAAACATGGCATTCTACTACTGCTTGCTCTGTGGATAAGCTCAACCAATCATTGGTAGACCTCTCACGGAAGGTCTACATCTTGTGCACGCGGACTCAGTCTGCCAGAGCAACATATGAATCTTTGACACGCTATATCTGCGGCGTTAGAGCGGAAACGAAGCCATCCAGGACTCCGGATGTTACTCTCTTGAGTACATATTACACTGGCCTAGACAGATGACCATGGAAAAACTCAGAACGCGAGCAAGAGCTGGAATAGTCCGACCTGAGACAGGGTATGGTCAGTCTAGATTTGGAAGCTGCCGGTCCTCGCCATTTGAAGTCCTGTCCACTTCAAAATCGAAAGATTACGTTCCTTCGAGACGTCATACAGCCAGAGGCTAACGTGAGACACATATTATATGACACTTGCCCAACACTTTCCTGAGGACGTCTAAGGTAGTTGTTTGCGTCGTTTAAAATACTTGAAATCATTCCCCGGTCTTGATGGACGTGGGACCGAACTGGCTAATTCGCCTAGCCTACTGCTGTGCCCCAGGCAACAAACAGTTCCAACTTCGAGTCGTCTGTGTCGCTGCGTATAATGCTAAAGGCTCGTTGTCAACACGTCATACTGCAAAGAAGCTAGATGAGATGCGAGTTTGATGCTCTAAAAGGAAGGATTCTGCGAGCACCTCACGTAATGCTTAGTACAACAGTGGGTTACTCGTCCGGGGTAGAGGTCCATACATAAGTAAGACTATACGACGCAACGAAAGAATTATTCTGTCTTTTGGGTAAGAAGTTAGTCCCTGTTGCCATGCTGAGCTTGCACCATCTTCTACTGAAGGGACACTTGTTCCCCTACCAGAAAAGCAGCAGTCCATATCATGCACCGAGTGGAGCAGTGTGACTAGTTATACGACCTCCTTGCTATATATTGACCAAATACAACCAACTCTAAGCCATGATTACGTATCGCTAAATTTTGAACCAAATATGCTAATCTTAGATGGCTGACGTTGCAGGCTAGCCTTACGGTAGCTACTACTTCTATACCCCAGTGGTGTTTGATACCTGGAAAGATAGAGCGAACAAGATATCACTCTCTATGCGAATTACCTCTATTCAAGAAAGCTGGGAATTCATACAGACTACGGTGAAGTTGAGTTCGGAGTGAAGCAGAAGCATATGCCTGGTTTATAAAGCAACTGTTCGACATAACTTGAACGATGAAAGACGCCGGACATCTTGCACCAGATGAGAAATCGTTGGCATCTTGTCTATAGAAGAACAAATCCAGTCAAGAGTTTCGACTGGTGCCTGACGAAGAAAGCCGTAGAGTGCCTTATCATACGATGGTACTGACCCCAGGGTTCTGAAAACCCAGAGCAAAGAAGCGATCAGATGGAGGAGATCTAACTCCCGGCTTGAAGGAAATCTTCAAGATCTCATTAGAGCTACATATCTTGATTGTTATTCCCACATGGGCACTCAATTTGGAATGTTTTTCATTTGCGTCAATGTCTCAAGGCTCTCTACATATTGTTGACTGCCCTAAATCATCAACAGCTGCGGTAGCGTATGTCTCACGTGGTAAGTTCAATCGGCTATAAGGAGGCCGAAGTGACTGTGTGTATGAGTAGAAGTATATATAGGACACGTTTTGACGCCTTGATCGATACACTAGCCAATTATTTGAACTGTAATAGCATATAGAGCGCTCTTAAAGCATGGTGCATCATAATGCTAAGAAAGCAACAGAAAGCATTGACTGACTGGCTCTGAAAGGGCACGGGCATTCTTTCCAGCTCGCTCCCAACTCGGGCAACCATGTCACTGGAAAACCCCAAGCGCATGATCTTCTTCCCGGCCTTCTCGACAGTGGAAGCTCTGAACGAAAGGAATACATTAATCATTCGGTGACATACCTGGAAAAATCATCAAAATATTGTTACCCCTACGTTGCTTACATTACGTCAGGATGCGTTCTATCCCGCCTGCGGTGGCTCATTCATGCACACTGCATATCAGCCTGACACAGATCGTGGCTATGAAAACCGGTGAGAGCAAGGCTCGTGGCCGTGCAGACGCATGGTCCGGCATGGAATAAGGTTGTCGGTTGTGACCTTGCGTGGAAAGCTTTGGCCCTTCCAGCTCTTGTTTCAGATCTTCGCGGCGTAGATAGAGGGGTAAGCGAGGTCCTAGGAGGATTGTTGAACATCAGACAGCCTTGTGATAGAATGAAGACGATTTGGCTTTACTAGGCGACAGTATTAAATCTTGATTCACATGATCGCCAATCAGATCGTGGGGTAAATCTCTGAACTCTATTTATTATTGTGTCAGAACAGGCGCCGAGGTGTAGATTTGGTGGCTTGACGCAGGGAGCATCGATGGGGTGTTGCGGGTTGATTGGGTTTGAGTTCATGCGAGTCCAAATATAGCCCAACGTTGGAGTTTCATAAATGTCATCACTGACGCGTTTCAATCCGGCAAAGATAATGTTAATAAAACAAGAAGGCTGGGTTAATTTCCCTGAATGTTAGTGGTTCATCTCGCATGCATTATATCCAGGAATAGTCATGTGCGCCTGTTCTGGGACCGCAACCGGCGTCATGATGCAGACAGCCGGGTTTACAGAGAGCTCCAAAGGGTTGGGGATGATCGACCTGGCGACAAGAATCACGATTCCTGAACGGTCAACATGAAACCCTAGTGTCAGGTTAGTATCGTGTCTACTTTCCAGTCACCCACTTCTTGGACTAGATCGCTGATATCTGACCGCGAGTGGGAAAGGGGGATGGGACCTCGGCCTTTCCCCGCCTAGTCGGCATCATGCGGTGGCCAGGGGTTACTGTATTTTAATATCCATGGACGCCCGCATCCACATGTAGTTATCCTTGAGAAATGAACATGGACGACCGAGGTGTATAATGAGATCCGAGACGTGAGGAGGAGAAAGACACGAGGCCAAACCTTGATTGATGAAAGTGTATGGGAGAAATCAATAAAGTATACATGTGTAGAATATTGTATCTTCCGGTACAATTGACTACCAAGCCGTACCAACAGTCGAACGGGAGTGACCTCCGTCCACTTTCCCCCATCCAGTTTAGTGGCAGACCGGATTCTCGTGATTTCGTCCTCCGATTCGACCGGCGGCCAAATTAAACTCCCTTCCCCAGACCGTCTAGAGACCCTCTTTCGCCTTCAATGTTATTCTTGTCATGATTGCCTATTCTTGTTTCCCGTTACTGTCGTTGCATATTTTGCCTCACTCCTGACACTCTCTTCTAATCCTGGTCTTTTTTCTTACTCTTTTTTTAATCTTCTCTAGACCACTACTGCAGGACAAAGTTGTCCTAACTGTCAGGGGTTCAACATCTCTGACTACGCTTGCCGACATCCCATCAGTCGTCCCCCTCATTCCTCTCCCCCGTGAACGGTCGTCATCCCTTACGCGCCTTCGGTGGTACTCTCCCTCGACCGCCACTCCCTTTGTCGCCCTGGGATCTGGACGGAAATGGGCCGACGATAATTTCTGCGCTCTCTTATATGACTCGTCCTTCCCCATCCTCGAATTGATTTGCCGCCTGTCTCCGAATTGTCGCGCTTTCGCCACGGTTCCACTCCCCGATATACTCTTCTCGATCGACGCCCGCAGCGGCATGTTCCTAGGTGATGGAAGCCCTAGTTTATGAGAATTCTCCTTTGGCCGAGTACCTTCACGGTGAGTGGGAATGTTCCACGATGGTCCGACCGGAAATAATAACGGGTGGTCGGTTAGGGACTGGTGAACACGATCCAGATTGGCCGGTGAAGGAAAACGAAAGTACCGATGATGGCTCTGATATCAGCGCAACCAATTTCGCGCCCCGCGGCGCGTCGAAATTCCAGGATCGGATAAGGAACAAACTCCCCAAGCCGCTGGATCTGAGAGCGTCTCGTCAGGGGGCGGCCTTGGGGAAATTGTACGACGCTTGCATGGTATGCTCATGGCCGAATCATTTGCGGATGCGCGGAGGTACTGACTTTGTTTCGGTTGTTTAGGCAGTGTTGAACTCGCAGATCGGCCAGAGCGACAATGAGAAGTTCTTGGAGCAATTTGGTTATGTGATCGTGGCATCGCAATTACTCAACGAACACAGCGCCCCCTCGTACACATCCGCTGCCGATGTCCTCTCCAACGCCCACCCGACGGATCCGCCGTCCATGTCCGCCGCCTT